TTTTCGTGTAAAATATACATGTTTATTTTGTTTTCTAGGGGCTTCAAATAAATTTAAATGAAATCCATCTAAGGCATAAATTACATAAGAAAATCCATGAATTTTCTCAAAACCTTCATGGACTTTTTGACGATAATTTTCTTATGGCCAAATTATAACTTCATTTTTTAAAGATTTTTAAGCTTCAACTATCCTTAAAGTAAATAAAGGAACTGTAACCTTCTGCTATACCAAATTTAGAACAAATGTCTCAAATTATTGCTTTTCACCTAATCTATATAAGATTATAGCAAGTTGTTTTCTATTGGAACCTTTCTTCTTTGAGGAATATCATTAAAAATTTCATGATTTTGCATTTTATCACTATTATTCAAAATGTTGATTGTTTCATTCTTAAAGTTTTTCGAAACCTAATATTATCATAATTAAATAAAATAGTTGAATACCAATGGTCTGATTTTTGGATGAACATTTATAATTTGAGATGGTTGGTTTAAATGACAAGAAATGATAGAAGTTACTAAAGTTTCATCATAACAAATATCAATTTCTATATCATCTGAATGAAATTCAATTGAATCTAAAGCTTCGATAAATATTTGAAATAAAAAAGGCTTCATATTAAAAATTAAAGTTTAAAAATTCTTTTTTAAACAAATGTTGTAATTTACTTTTTTTAGGTTTGTAGAAATATTACTGTGTCACTTTTCGCACCTGAATATTTTATTGGTTTTTTAATAATTACTAAACTAAAAAATATATGTATTACCATAATGAGATATTCTATATATACATATACTAAATTTAAATTTATAATATGTGACTATTGAAAAGGCCTTAAGAGAGCTTCAAAATAAGTTAATATTTATCAAATTGGATCATAAAAGCAGAAATAGCTTTAAAAGTTGGTAAGATCTTGAGCTGAACTAAAATCAATTTTGAAAAAAGTATTCATAAGCAAATTTTGAATTAATTTTCTGGTGATTCTAAAGTTTAATTACCTAAAAGAAATGAAAAAATTATCCATTATTATGTAAAAATATAAAGTTACTTATTGAGTCTTAAAATACAAATTCTTATCTTAATTATCTATAACCAAATCACAACCAAATTATAATTCAAATTTGATTCTAATATAATCTAAATATAATCTGAATTTAATATAATTCATCCTAATCCAATTTAAACCTTAATTAAAAACAATTTAATTACAACCTAATTTAATTCATATCTCAAAATTAACTATTCTAATCTGATTATAACCCAAACCAACTTCAATTTCAATTTCAACCTAACCTAACTAAACCTAACTTATCTTAGAATTTTTTAAAACTTCCTTTTTTTATCATTAAATGATCCTAAAGCATCGTTCAGGTAGAATTGCTAGTCCCTTATAATATATTATGCCAGTTTCCTCACTAACAAAAAATGTCACGCTACCTTTTCAGACAGGTTGTTAAACTACCGATAGCTGAAAGTGGAAAAATAATAAACAAAATCACGACGTGATATAAAAATAAACATATCTCTAAGATCTGGTGAAATCTTTATTTTATTTTAATTATCTTTTATTTTTATTTTTTTATTTTTATTTTAGTTCTTTTATTTTTATTTTATTTTTTTTATTTTTTTAAAAAAGGAAAAGAGAACGAAAAATAAAAAAAATAAAAAAATAAAGAAAAGAAGATAAAACTTAAACAAAAATAACAAAACGAAAAAATAATGAAAAACTAAAAAAAAGAAAGTAAAAAAAATAAAATAAAAAAATAAAAAACAAAACTATCGAAAAAGATAAAAAAAACAAAATGAAAATACTAAATAAAT